TCAGTCGATCTTGCTGTATATCTGATGGTCTCTGTCGAAGCTGATAGTGATTTCAGGATCTCCTCTGCCGATGTACCTTGTTCAAGGTGAGAGCAGAGCTGTCCTAGCCATACATCTAAGGTTCTGGAAACGCAGGTTGTTGCTACTGCCAGTTTAAAATTCACTGCAGATGCTTCCCACGCTCTTTTAAGGAATGTGTCTGCTTTGCGGTCCATTGGATCCTTAAGGGAACTGCCGTCCTCAAAGGATAAGTCCGTCGATTTTGAAATCATTGAAAGGGGGGCATCTGGCTTTGGGCAGGATTCCCACACGGACACATCGTCTTCTTTAAACGGAAATCGCCTTTTAAGGTTTTTAGGAAAGAAAGCCTTCTTTTCCGGCTCTTCCCATTCCCCCTTTATGGTAGACCATAGGATGGAATGAATGGGGAATGTGCGGACGCTTCTTTTCTGTAACCATGCGTATAGCTGGTAGTGCAGAGAGAGATCCAGTTGTTCCTCTTCTAGATCCAGAGTATCATAGATCACCTTCAAGAGGCCTTCTGTATCTTTTACTGGATAAAGGAACCTTTGCGATCTGTGATCCTGGATCCTCTGCCTCGCCTTCCTCCGAGTCCGAAGTGCTGGAAGGTTCTTCTTCTCGACTCGCAGTGGCAGCCTGGTCCTGCTTCCTCCTTTTCCCCTACGGGGAAATGCCTGAAGAGCCAGGTTGAGGCTCATCCGGGGGGCTGGTTCCTGCCTCCTGCTCCCTAAAACTTTGAAAGGTTTTAGACATCTTCTGCATCATGTTTTGCAGAAAATCTTTAAAGAGGAATCCTGACTCCTTCTTAATTAGCTTATCAATACATTCTTGGCACAGTTGCTTCCGCCAAGCTCTAGCTAGCTTCTTCCTCCAGGTAGCGCAATTTTTTCTTTGACTCACAAGGAGTTTCTTTTCCCCCTCTATCCTCCTCTTGTGGGCCCATCTAGGGACAGGAAGACACAAGGTATCCTGTAAGCCGAGGGGCCCGGGGGACTGACCTACGTGCACCCACTGGTACCCAGAAAGCCCTAGGGTGCCGTAGAGAGAAGAGGAGAGGGAGGAGAGGAGAACCCCTGATACCCCCCCGGCCCACCCCAACCCCCGGGACCCCTCCCGAAGCCGAAAAGGGCCAGCGGGGGGGGGGACAGGTTTGCAGGAGAGGGGAGAGGGAGAGGGGCAAGTGGCAGCCAAAAAGGCTCTTACCTTGCTGCAGGCCTACCCCAGCTCCGAAGATCTGCCTCCATTCTCGCTGCAGCCCGCCCTCGGTGCGGCTGTTTTTGCAGGGTTGATGGGGCTCCGCCCCCTGCTTGGGATCCCTGAACGCCGACCTTCCTCTCACGGCCGCCGGTGGGTAAAGTGGCCGTGGCGTGGCAAATTTTGCGATCCGCCGCCCATGACCAAAATGGCGGCAATCCGTTTCCTGTTCCTCCTGCGCCAGAAATGACGTCACAGAAATGACGCGGCTGCGGCTTCCCGTACTTCCTGGTTCCGTGCTGCCGAGATCCAGGAAGAAGGTAAGCTTACCTCTGTCCCACAAGGGAAGGCACTGCCAAATAGGTCAGCGGGAGCCGGCTCTACCCCCTAGAGAGCCCCGTTTGGACCATCCAGGGGTCTGTCTCCCCCGTCCCAAAGGGGTGCTTCAGGGTGAAAAACCCTGCTGAAGCCACCTCACAAGGCCCCTGCCTTGCTAAGAAGAGGAGGAAGGGGAGCCTCAGCCAGGGGGCCTCTGTACCTCACTAGACAGCAAGGGGAAAAAAAAAAAACAGGCGTAGCTTTGTCCTGGCCGGAGGAAACACTAATACTGAGGGTCCCCCTGGGAGAGAGGCTACTTATAGGAGAAAAAGGTGGAGCCGGTGTTTCCTGGGAGGAGCCTATCTCTCATGTGGAGCTGTCCTAGAAGATGACTTGGGAAAAAAGCACTTGTGGGTTTAACTAATCTTTTTTTTTGGTATAATTCTCCTTTGAGGGGGCATGGCAGGGGGTGTGTCCTATGCCTACATAACTTTGCTAATAGGTATCCCTTGTTCCGATTTAAAAAATTTGGGAGCCATGCTGTAGCAGCCTGCCACACCTTCCTTCATGGCTGAATCCTGGTCTGACCAGCAGAACTTCATCATTTCTGGGTAGTGTTGACGCTTGTCCCTAAGCCCCTCCCTCCCATATTCCAATCCATCACAATAAAAGGGAAGCTTCACTGGTCATTAGGATTGGGAAGATCTTTTAATCTTTTCATATTACAAATTAAGTTTAATGCAACCACTATTCAATATTTACTCCGATGTGTATATTATATTAATGTGAGTCCATCTCAAATGTCCATGAGAATTATTCAATAAAAGCCCCAGAACATGTGTCTTCCTTCATAGTTGTACATATCACCAGTGACAACCGTGTTGGGCACACATTAATATTCACCACAAATGCTGTATTCCTCCATCTTTTAAAATATCTGCATACCAGACAAACATAACTTACTTTTCATTAAGGCCATAGAGAGCCTTGTCCTTTAAGTGCGGCCACCACTCAATTCCAAATCCAAAGGGGGATTAAGGAGAAGAGAGAATTTGTGGTGGGGGAAGGGGAGGTGGGGAGAGGAGGATTTGTGATGGGAAGGAGAATTTGGGGGGATTTGGGATGGGAGGGATTTGTAACTGAAAGGATAATTTAGAGGGATTTGGAATGGGAGGGTAGAATTTGGGGGGGGGTGTTATAGGGATAATTTAGGGGGATTTGGGATAGGAGGGTGGAATTTAGGGGGGAGGATTTGTGATGGGAAAGAGAATGTAGGGGGATTTGGAATGAGAGGGTGGAATTTCGGGGGGAGGTATTTGTGGGGTGACCATAGCTGTGAAGGTGCATGATATGGGGTGATCTGAGGTGTGAAGGTGCAAGAATTGGTACATCTATGAGGTGTGAAGGTGCAAGAACAGGGTTGAGGTGAGGTGTGAAAGTGCAGGAATTTGGGTGACCTGAGGTGTGAAGTTGCAGGAATTGGGGGTGACCTGAGAAGGGAAGGTGCAGGAATTGGGGTGACCTGAGAAGGGAAGGTACAGGAATTGGGGTGATCTGAGGTGGGAAGGTGCAGGAATTGGGGTGACCTGAGGAGGGAAGGTGCAGGAATTGGGGTGATCTTAGGTGTGAAAGTGCAAGAATTGGTGCTTCTATGAGGTGTGAAGGTGCAGGAACTGGGGTTGACGTGAGGTGTGAAGTTGCAGGAATTGGGGTGACCTGAGGTGGGAAGGTGCAGGAATCGGTGCTTCTGAGGTGTGAAGGTGCAGGAACTGGAGTGACGTGAGGTGTGAAGGTGCAGGCATTGGGGTGATGTGCGGTGTGAAGGTGAAGGAATTTGGGTGACCTGAGGTGGGAAGTTTAAGGAACTGGTGCTTCTCTGAGGTGGGAAGGTGCAGGAATTGGCCTGGGCAGGAAGTGTGTGAAGCAGTCCGGTCTAGAAGTGGTTAACCTAGTAAGCTCAGGAGGCAGGGGGTTGGGTCAACCTTGACTTTCACAAAAGTCAAGATTTGCACATAACTATATCAACAATTACAATCAAGATATATCTTATTCACTGACGTAGACAAATATTGCATTTAATTTCAAAATATTTTTATCTTACATCTGTTCTTAATCTCGATAGCTCGGGTAAAGTTTCAGTACCAAAGCAGTAAAAACCGAGCTACACTCGGGATTACCATGCGGCATTGCTCAGGGATTCCCCTGCAGCGCTTGCCTTGTCCTTTGCTCCCGCGATGCGTCCTCTGCAGTGTCCCCGGCCATCTCCTCCGGCCGATTCCGGCATCCGGCTTCCGTGTTCCGGTCCCTGCGAGTGTCGGGACGTACAAGCGCCGTAACCGGCGGGAAATTTTAAAATTTTAAAAACTGTAATTTTCTTATAAAACGAATATCACATAGTATAACATTCCTGTTTCAAACCATTTCACATACATTTTGTCCCGAATGCTTTGTCCGGCACCCTGCCTGCATTTTGACTGTGTTTTCTGCCGGAAACGTAGAAAACGTCCATGGCGTCCAAAAAGCGTCCCTTTAGGTCAAAATCGGTTTTAGACCGGCTAGAGAGAACAGCGATAGTAAATCAGAACCACTTGCAGAATTGAGTGATAATGATTCGTGGGGGAAATTCCTCATCAGACACTGAAAATGATTCTGCGACTTTGCTCAGCGATGTGCGAACTTGGCGCTATATTTCACATTTCAGTGTTTTTGGTTTGATTATATTATTGAAATAAATGTATTATTATTACCGTATTTTGCGCTCCAAAAGACGCACCTAGGTTTTAGAGGCAGAAAACAAGAAAAAAAAATATCTGAACCAATGGACTGCAGACATAGTACAGGAGATGACCAGAGACTGCGGACAGTACAGGAGATGACCAGAGACTGCAGACACAGTACAGGAGATGACCAGAGACTGCAGACACAGTACGGGGGATGACCAGAGACTGCAGACACAGTACAGGGGATGAACAGAGACTGCGGACACAGTACAGGAGATGACCAGAGACTGCAGACACAGTACAGGAGATGACCAGAGACTGCGGACACAGTACAGGAGAGATGACCAGAGACTGCGGACACAGTACAGGAGATGACCAGAGACTGCGGACACAGTACAGGAGATGACCAGAGACTGCGGACACAGTACAGGAGATGACCAGAGACTGCCGACTTAGTACAGGAGATGACCAGAGACTGCAGACAGTACAGGAGATGACCAGAGACTGAGGACAGTACAGGAGATGACCAGAGACTGAGGACAGTACAGGAGATGACCAGAGACTACGGACATAGTACAGGAGATGACCAGAGACTGCGGACATAGTACAGGAGATGACCAGAGACTGCGGACATAGTACAGGAGATGACCAGAGACTGCGGACATAGTACAGGAGATGACCAGAGACTGCGGACATAGTACAGGAGATGACCAGAGACTGCGGACATAGTACAGGAGATGACCAGAGACTGCAGACAGAATAGGGGATGACCAAAAGACTGCGGACTGTATCAGGGATGACCAGAGACTGCGGACTGTATATAGGGGATGACCAGAGAGACTGCGGACAGTACAGGAGATGACCAGAGACTGCGGACAGTACAGGAGATGACCAGAGACTGCGACAGTACAGGAGATGACCAGAGAGACTGCGGACAGTACAGGGGATGACCAGAGACTGCGGACAGTACAGGAGATGACCTGAGACTGCGGACATAGTACAGGGATGACAGAGACTGCAGACAGTACAGGAGATGACCAGAGACTGCAGACAGTACAGGAGATGACCAGAGACTGCGGACATAGTACAGGAGATGACCAGAGACTGTGGACAGTACAGGAGATGGACCAGACACTGCGGACACGGTACAGGGGATGACCAGACACTGCGGACACGGTACAGGGGATGACCAGACACTGCGGACACGGTACAGGAGATGATCAGAGACTGCGGACACGGTACAGGAGATGACCAGAGACTGCGGACAATTAGTACAGGGGATGACCAGACTGCGGACAGTGAGGAGATGACCAGAGACTGCGGACAGTGCAGGAGATGACCAGGAGACTGCGCACAGTACAGAAGATGATCAGAGACTGCTGACGGACAGTACAGAAGATGATCAGAGACTGCGGACAGTGCAGGAGATGACCAGAGACTGCGGACAGTACAGGGGATGACCAGAGACTGCGGACACAGTACAGGAGATGACCAGACACTGCGGACACAGTACAGGGGATGACCAGACACTGCGGACGGACACGGTACAGGGGATGACCAGACACTGCGGACACGGTACAGGGGATGACCAGACACTGCGGACACGGTACAGGAGATGACCAGAGACTGCGGACACGGTACAGGAGATGACCAGAGAGACTGCGGGACACGGTACAGGAGATGACCAGAGACTGCGGACACGGTACACGGAGATGACCAGGAGGGACTTAGTACAGGGGGATGACCAGAGACTGCGGAGGGACTGCAGATGACCAGAGTAGTACAGGATGACCAGAGACTGCGGACAGTGCAGGAGATGACAGGAGATGACCAGTGCAGAGACTGATCAGAGACTGCGGACAGTGCAGGAGATGACCAGAGACTGCGGACAGTACAGAGATGACAGAGAGACTGCGGACAGTGCAGGAGATGACCAGAAGACTGCGGACAGTGCAGGAGATGACCAGAGACTGCGGACACAGTACAGGGGATGACCAGAGACTGCGGACAGTACAGGGGATGACCAGAGACTGAGCGGACAGTACAGGGATGACCAGTGACTGCGGACAGTACAGGGGATGACCAGAGACTGCGGACACAGTGCAGGAGATGACCAGACCACTGCGGACACAGTACAGGGAGATGACCAGAGACTGCGGACATGGTACAGGAGATGACCAGACACTGCGGACAGTACAGGAGGTTGACCAGAGACTGGAGACACAGTACAGGAGGTGACCAGAGATACTGCGGACACAGTACAGGAGATGAACCAGAGACTGCGGACACAGTACAGGAGATGACCAGACACTGCGGACAACAGTACAGGAGATGACCAGAGACTGGAGACACAGACAGGAGATGACCAGACATGCGGAACCAACAGTACAGGAGATGACCAGAGACATGCGGACACAGTACAGGGGATGACCAGAGACTGCAGACATAGTACAGGAGATGACCAGAGACTGCGGACACAGTACAGGAGGATGACCAGGGACACTAAGCGGACAGTTACAGGTGATAAAATATGACCAGGACATGCGGACAGTACAGGGGATGACCAGAGACTGAGGACACAGTACAGGAGATGACCCAGAGACTGCGGGGGACAGTACAGGGGATGACCCAGAAGACTGGGCCGGGACACATGTACAGAGGAGATGACCAGAGGGAGACTGCTGACAGTACAGGGGTATGACCAGAGACAGCGGACACAGTACTGGAGATGACCAGACACTTGGCGGACAGTACAGGTAGATGACCAGAGACCTGCGGACCTTTTGGGAGGGGAGGGGGAACGCGGGTACCTGGAATTTGGGACAGGTACCACACCAATCCCACTTCCGTTGGAGTTGGTTTGCTCCTTTTTAACTGTAGGCACTCTGGCTTCTCCCAACCCGGCATATGACAGCCGGGTACCCAATGCGCATGCGCGAGAAGCAACTGCGCTTTTGTGAATGGCCCGCGTCTTCTGGAATCTGTCATGTGTCCCAGAAGGCGCCGGACCATTTCAGAAAGCGCAGCCCTTCTCTGCTACACGTGCAGTGGCACCCGCTGTCACAGATGCCGGGGCAGGAAGAAGCCGGCGCAGGAAGACTGCAAGGCGCTGGACCGAGAACAGTAAAGTCCTTCATCCTGGAGTGGCCCGGCCCCCGGTATTCTGACATGGTGGCGGGTGGAAAAATATGGACCGGCCGCTTTATATTCCCCCATAAGATGCACTGACTTTTTCCTCCCTTTTTTGGGGGGAAAAAGTGCGTCTTACGGACGAAAAATACATATATTATTATTTTTATGATTATTTTTTAAATTATAATTTATGTTTTTTGTTTCAAGTTTTACTACCCCGAATGTTTATAGACTCTTTTTCGACGATTTCAGTGAGTTATTTCCCAAAAATTAAAAGCCCACAAAAAAAAACGGTAGTTTTTCCCAAACAAAAAAAAATGTACCGCTTTGAGCTTTTGAAATTGGAAGGGGGGAAAGACTTCCGAGATTTTGCTCTTTCGGGGGGGGCCTCGTGTCCATGTTCTCCAGGATGTAATCAGATCTCTCTGTAATACTCGGAAAACCTCCTCAGCGATGGATCGTCATACTCAGAAAAACTTCGAAAAAATCTCCCGAAGTCCCTGCAGAAACACAGAAAATGTGATTACAGGATTGTGGCTTTAAACCCGAATTTAACTTCACTGAGAAAGTCTATGGGGGGGATTTGCTAAAAACTGCAGAGGCAGTAAAATAATGCCTTTTAGGAAAAAAAAGGGTTCCTTTAGGCAGGGCTCTCCAAACTGCAGCCCAAGGGCCCGTGCGGCCCTTTGCTAGCCTTTATCCAGCCCCTTTGGGGTCTATTCCCCCCAACGCTCCCTTTACGTTACCTATAATGTTTCCCCTCCCCCTCTCCCCCTCTTGTTGGGGGGCCCCCCCGGCTCTGTCCTCGGGGGCCCCTTTCTTCTCCATTACACCTCTTCCCTTGGCCAAAAATGATACATCCCGGCTTCAACTACCACCCCTATCCGTGACACGCAAATTTACCCCTCCACCCCCCGCCCACCCCCTTTTGTCTCCCCCCGAACCACTAGCTTAAGAACGACTTATCAACTGATGTCGCTCCATTTTCCCCAAATTGAACCCCTTTTCCAAAAA